ACTCCAACTAGAATTGTAAGCTTGTGTGTTGTCGGTACTACTTGAAGTGCATTGTAATTGTTGAAGGCATTAAGTAAAGCTCCACCACAGAGCTTCTAAGAAGTCAGTAAAGTGAAAGGCATTTGTTTAATAGTTTTTCCAACTATGTCATTACTGAAGCAGCTAGTAATACCACTTAATTCATCTGAAGTGCATCAAATTTCTGTCAGGTTATAGAGCATGTGCAGAGGTCAGTGAATGTTTTAGCCTCTCGTTAAGTGTGGTGTGCATAAAAAATTCTCTCCACACAGAGCTGAGCATGGAATTTAGCATCTTGTAAAATCCTTCATAAGTTATTTCAAACAGAATCTCTGATATCACTAGAGACCTCGTATTTGGAACTATCAAAAAGTAGCAGTAATTTGACTGTTTAAAATTCACCTCAGCAGCTTTTCTCTTTTTACATGGCCAGGGAGTGGGAATCACAACTTAATGATTTTGTTTTAGAAATACTTGATGCCATTTATGGCTGACCGAGGGTTTATGAGGCTTCTAAGTTTTGAAGAAGGTCTTTATTGGATTGACGTGTTGTTTAATTACTCTGTAGGGTACTACTGTAAGCTGAATACAACCAAGGCATAAGAACATTAGTTTTGTGATTTTGATCACGATTTAAATGAACTTGTTTGTATGGCTTAGTGCATTCTTACATGCCATTATATGATGCTTTTTAAAAAATAATTATCATATAAGCTACCCACTCATGATGTGGGGGAAGATATCATATACATGGATATAGAAAAATAGATCTTGCTAGCTTTGATCACCAAAGAAACTAACCAATTATGTAGAAAAGACTTCTTATGATGAATGATCCTTAATGTCTGTTAAATATGATGGAACTATATTGAGGCAAGATTATTAATGTTCTACATTCATTTTATTTGGGTCATCAGAAGCTATTCAACATGCCAGTTAAAGACCGCACGAATCACACTGCGAGCCAAGGGGTTAAAGTACAGCCACTCAAAGATGATTTATTCAAATCTTCATCAATATTTAAATAAAGCTTTTGCTGAAGAATATTCTCAGTGAGCCAAGAAAAGACAGTGCCGCCTGCTTCAGAAGAAACAGATCCTTCTCTAAAAATACCACAGTTTGTTACCTACTGGGAGATTTTCAGCAATTAAGATCTAACTGTATATTAAAATGGCTGTGTTTGTAATATTATACTATTTGAACTAGTAAATATTTTGCTCTCTCTGTCACTTATAATTTATGTACAATTATAAAAAAAAAACTTGAGTCGCATGGGACCCATTCCATGATTTCTTTGTAAAGATGAAGATGTATGCTTTCATCTCCAACTCTTTTTAAGCAGGACAATCTCAGCACCTATTGACTAAAACTTGTTGAAATAATCCATAATCCAATGTTTAGAGATTAGTCTGATTTCAACATTGAGGTGGAAGGCTTGTCCATAACTGACAATAAATTGTTTTGGCATCTTTGCATAAAAGTATTAAAAATCCAAAGAAATGCGACACTCTCCAGATGTAGTGAAATGATTAGGTTTCAGTTTTGGGTGAGTTACTTTAAAATATGTCAAGAAAAGTCAAACTTTATTCCATGTCCTTGTTTCAGCTGTCAGACCTTGTAAACGTTTTGTGCTTCCATTTCGCCCACCTGAGGCTTTCACATGCATGGTATATGTTAATTGATGCGTTGCAGAACCTAGAGCATATCACAAGGTTTTCATTATTTGAAAGGTCATAAACCATTCAATATAGAGCTATTTCTATTAGAAGGGTTTTTCAGAAAGGCTTATTCTGGGTTCTTGTGTGAGCTGGTTGAAGGATAGAAATGTTTTAAATACAGGTAGTTCTATATTTCTGCACACTTGTACATTTTTGGTTTAACATGCCTCAAGAATATATACTACTTATTATACATACTAAAAACTCCACTAGTGTTTAAAAAATATTAAAGACAAAATTCAATGCAAAGAAATTGTAAATACTGCATTTATTTTTAAACTTACTTTAAATTAACATCCTTAACATTCAATAAATAAAATTATAAAACGTTTGATTATTAATAACCAGTTTACAGATTTCCTTTCTAAATAGGGAAAGAATAACTTGTATTTTGACTTAAAAATACATGGCTTTGAAAAGGCTCACTGAGAGACTGAAAATAACTGCAGTTCATATACCTCTGGGAACACGACTCCTGCGGTTTCATACTGTTCACTATTCACAGCTAACAACAGCCCTGTCCTTCACATTTTACATGGAATTGAGAACTATTAGTAAAACTACATACAGTTCATCTTACATGAATGAGGAAATGTGTAATTGTTTTTATTTTAGGGTTCAACCCCTGATGGGAGCTCTGCTTCTCCCCTGTTTAGAGTACAGTACATTCCTTCTTATGGGAAATAGGTTTTTAATTGACAAACCTGAGTTATGTTGTACCTTTCAGGAACCCATCTACTATGTAAATCCAGAACTGCTAGTACCAGAGTCTGCTGCATCCTTAGTTCCTTTCTGACATTATGACATTCTGAAGGCTGACTTAACCAGTGCACCTATATAATCTAAGAACCTCCAAGGTGACCCTTTCTGGTGCTTGAAGGATAGTGAGTCTGACACATGGCTTTTAGAGTTTCAATAAATGGACTCTGAGATTTTTGCGTTTTTTTTTTAGTTAAATTGCCTGGAAAGCATTTTACAATTTAGCGGAAGCCAAACCAATCTGAAATATCCATTAAAAAGCACAATTTTGTACCGAAATGATAAGCTGAATTAATAAGGAAGAAATTGCTTTTTATAACACATTTTGCATGTCCAACATTAACTTTAACCCTTAAGAAACATCTTTCGCCAGGGTTTAGACAGTGCTGGTAACCCACACAAATGTTGCTTTTCATTCCATCCCACCTTCATTAGATTGTTGAATCCTTAATTGATCTAAGAAGTTGCTTCATTGGAATATTTTCTTTAGTTTCTAATCACAATTTGGGGATTTTATTTCATTTACAGAATATAACAGTTAAAGCTCCAACATGTTTAACAGCTGGAAACAAACAGTTCAGATTAATCTTAACTATTAAGTTAATGAAGGGCTTGATTATGTAACTGAGGACTTAGCTGGAACAAATCTAACAGGTGTGTGTGTCACCAGGACCATGACTGGGAACCTCTGGTTTAGCCCTTTGTCTGGCCTGTGTTCTGTGCAATGTGTAAGAAAGAAACAGTGATGCACCTGATCATTCCTATCAGGCACACACCAATTCAAAGAGATGTGATTTGGAGCTGTGCTCATGGTTAGAATAAACCTCTTCCTGTTGAGAAAGTGATTGATTACATTTGCAGAGTAGCTAACTAAATGGGTCAGTGTTTATCAAAACAAATGAAAAATAAATGAAATTCCTAACCTAAACGATTGCAAAATGTCGCAGCAAGTCGTGCGTGTTGTCACTTAAAGGAAACTGGCTGTGTGCTGAGTCTTGTTGCCAAGGTCAACAGCGTTACAATTTTGTGAATTATCTAATCTTGGCGATGTACAGAGAAAAAAAAACTTTTAATGTGCTCTTCAAACTCCTCATTGGAGCAACCCCCTTGCACTTGTCAACAAGCAGTTACACAGCTTATACACTGGGTATACATGTTCATACAAGGATACAGAAGGATTACACCCTTGTAGTTACTCATCATGCCTCATTACCTTCAAGGAAGTTGATGCAAAGTTTAATTCAAATGAATGAACAAACCATGAGTGTCTGATCGAAGTCTGGTTATTTCCCAATGTGAAACACAGGTAAGGAAACAGACATCTATCCATTTTCTAGACAGCTTTATCTGTCATAGGGTCACAGAGACAGCTGTGGCCAAACAGTGGGTGCTAGGTGGGATACACCCTGGACAGGACCCTAGTCCATTGCAGGGAACACACAGACAGACACGCAGACACTCACACCAGGACCAGTTTTGCAGAAGCCAGTTAACCTACAGTACCTGCATGTCTTTTTCACTGTCAGGGGAAACCGGAGCACCCGGAGGAAACCCACATGAACACGCATACAACACGCATAGAACATACAAACTCTATGGAGACAGCACGCCGGGATTTGAACCCAGAGCCCCTGCACGGCGGGGCAGCAATGCTAACTACTATGCCACCATGCCGCCCTCCAAATAAATGTATACCTTAGAAATAGACTAACCTATAAAATTGTCATTTTAAAATTGTGTGTGAAAAAGGCAACCCTTTTTAATATAAAAAAAGGGTACAGTAGGTGCTTCAGCAATGAGTATCCACAAGGACAAAGGGGAAAAAAATGCTGGGGTATAATGCGTGAAAAAGCAAAGGAGGCTGTTTCAAAGCACTTTGATTTCAGAGCTTAGTGCTTGCTAATAGGATTAAAGACTGTATTTGATGCCAAAAGTCAAAAGCTGCTGTAGCTTTAAGAACTATGTTGGGAGAGAAATTTTGCTGAAAGCTACATGGTGAAGGGCTTCATACAGTATTCACCTAACTGAAGATGCCACATCAATTTGTTTCAAACTGGAATTATGGCTTTTACTCGCATTAATATTTTAAACCCATGCATACATGATGATGGAGTTGGGGGGAGCAGAAGCTAGCCCTGGTGAGAGCCTGACTGGTTTTTAGCTGCTTTTTATTTTCTCTTTTGACGCCGCCACTCGTAGAAAAAATATTAGCAGGCTGAATCTAGAAGCAGCCCGGAGTGTCTGCCTTAGAGTTTCATCTCATCTTTAAGACTGCCTTTGCGGGGTAGATAAGGTCACGGGAGTTCACATAAAAAAGGAAGAAAAAGGACGGATTTGCCGGCAGGCTTGCCAAGAAGACAAACACAGAGCCCCCTCTCTCTATCAGCTCCTCTTTCTCCCCTCCTACATGCAAAAGTTTTGTGGAGGTGCCTGCCAACCGGCCGGGCTGACAGCAGCAGCAGTCTCTGTGTGGCCAGCAAGCCACACCCCTTATCATTACAGCAGTATTTTAGCTAATTAACTGCACAGCGCTGTTTGCAGTGTATGATATTGTCATCAGGCTGGAGGAGTGTCCACAGCAGAAGTGAACCAGCTCTGGCAGCAGTGCCTGATCACAGAAATGCTTCCCGTTTTCTAACAAGCTACAGTACAGTACCTCTCTCTGCTCCTAAAGTGGAAGAATATACACTATTTTGCCTAACTTCCTGTGGACCTGTTGTGTTTGCTTGTTTACTTACCTGACTGCTGGCTGCCTGGCTGCTACAGCCAATGGATTAATCTGTTTATTTGTGAGAAAGGTACAGCAGCAGACAGGAGGCATGGGAAACCAAGCTGGAAGAGTGGAGGAGCTGGAACAAGGTCTGCTATTCGTTTCCTCACTACTTGACATTTCTGAGCCGAGTAACAATGTGTTGCCTATTCTGGTATTTAGCAGACAACTGCTCGCTATTTCTAGAATGTTGCAGTTCATTCTATTGTGTCAAGATAAAGTACTGTATGTGTGCGTTCGAAACTCAGACTGAACTGCGCTTTAAAGTGTGTTGACTTTTTGCTGTATGTGTCAAGCATTGTGTAAATATAAACACTTAGAGAAATGTTTTCTAGCTAAATTCATTTTCAAAATTCAAAGTTTGAGATTTTTTTTTTCACTCTGTGGTATGCAGTGAGTTAAACTCCCAAGTATTAGTAAAGTGCCCTATGGCTAAGGTGTATAAAGAAAATATTTTAAGCTGGTGACTTGTTTTTTATGAGGTTGTTTTATCAAGATATCTGAATTAAGCTATTTCTGATAGAGCTTCAAGGCAAATTCATTGACAAGTTTGTGCTAAGCAATGTCTAGTCTTCTGAGTTTAATATAGTCTTCTGCAGCTTCCCTTAGAGCTTGTTGGAGTAAGATTGTATCAGTGCCTTGGTCTATTACTGCTTCAAATGCTTTGCTGCACAGAGCTGTGCTTCTGAAACATTCCCATTTCAATATCCTTTTTAACTTCTAACTTCACATGAAAGTCAAAACTGTCTTCTGTGTACCTCAGCTTCTCTGAAAGCACTGTGTAACATGCTAGATTAAGCAGCTTTTAACTAACTTTCAGATACAGGTCCAGCCGTTATCAGTGCCTGCCTCCCTGCTTTGCTGCTTATTTATGGGAGCAGAGACTCTGGCTATGCAGTAATAATATTCCTTTTGAAATAAGAACTATAAGCAAACGAGTATCTGCAGTAGTGTGCTGTCCACCTGAGATAAACAGGTAGTTAATTAAAATCCGGGGACTGGCGACTCTGTAATGAGTCCAGTAAAGCTAAATCATATTATTTTAACTAGCTGTGTGCTTGGTGATATAATTATAGATTCCAGTATGACAAATTCAAAATCTTCCTAACAGCTGCATGATTTGACATGTGAGATGTAGTATCAGTTCTGTCACCACATTGGAACCTGTCAGACACTGATGTCTTTCTTGTGGTACTGGGTCTGCAGGTTATCTCAATAATAGGAGTTGAGAATGAGATTCCTGTATATATTTTTTTCCAATGATAGTTACTTCCTACTTTTTTGTCCTTAAGTTAACTGTTAAAGCTGTTGGAAGGCTGTTCTGAATCTCTTTATGTCAATGCTGTATGTCAACATGTGGTAACATAAGGTGTTGTTTCAGCCATTAAATGCCAAGCTGGATTTACATTTATTCATTTAAGGATTTATTCAGTCTTACTTAAATTATTTTAGTTCTATGAAAGCTACTATTTCAGATTAGAGTATCTTTGCATGGCAAAGCCATGTAAACAGTGCTAAATATTAACACAGAATTCTAAAGCTATATTATTTAATAGAAATTTCTTGTTTTTGTTGGCACAACTATTTTCTGGATTTGACTTTTATGGATTTATGTTGACATTGATATCTCTTTCCTTTGCTAGTGCTCTGAGTTCTAATCAAGGTTATTGACTAAAGACACTGACTAATCATCAAGTCAGTTCAGCAGAACAGTAGAGGATTTTGTTACTGCTGTTAATATTATTTAATTTGCTTAGCAGACGGCTAAACAAAGTTTACTTTAAATGTACTGTAAGTTCAAGGGAACCAGTGAACATGAGAACACAAAAATATAAAAACAAAAAGTGATAAAAATGCAAGGTCGATAAAACTTGAAGTCCAACACTAGATCATAGTGCCACACAAAATCTAAATAAAAATCAAATGAAAACAAAAACAATATTGAGAATTTTGTATTAAAAGGTACAAATGTTTTCACAATAGTGCTCTTACTTCACTATTATAGTATTATTTCTGACTTTTGCATGAGTTTAAATGAGCTAATGAGAAGGTTATGATGTGCCCATCTTCCCATAGGTTCCAAATAATTGTAAAAAACTTCTGTGGTATGAAAGTAGTGTTGAAAGAGTGCTATACAGTAATTAACTGACGTAAAGGGACTAGTCTGCTTTGATCAGGAAAATAATACTCCGGGCTGTTTGTCACTTTTCCAGTAACAGCTGCCTTGCATTTATATGATTACTGTACATTTATAAAAAGGTACAACTTTAAAGTATGAGTTCAATTAAAATGACCTATTTTCCTGAAAGACGGGAGCAGTGTCTTTCAGACTGGGGTGTTGGGAATAAGCAGTCACCATTCTCATTGATAAGGAACAGATGTTTATTTTCTAATTTTAGATTTATGATATTATGATTTTTGTTTTTTAGACAGACTTGATCTTGGCATTTGTTCAGGCACATTTAAAGAAAACTCTCAAGTATGTTTTATTTTCTGTAGTTTATTGTAGTGTATATTGCATTAGTGTTTTTTAGCGGTATATTTTCTTTAAAATTTCCTTTTTATTAGAAATGTTGTTACTTTTTTAAAGACAGTAGATAGAAATGATAGAGAATTATTACTCATGCAAGATTATCAGTTAAAGTATGCTTTCTTTTCCGGGTGTTCTGGGTCCCTTCACAATAGGCATTGTGATTTGGCTGCTTCCACAACAGAGAATGTAGAGAATTTGCAATTGAGAGTGTATATGATTACTCAGACTAATGTGTGCACTAACCCACGTCATTACAATTATGAAGCTCTACTGTGACTGTCTCTCGTTTTCATCACTGTTTCAGGCCTGTTGATTTTTAATGGTGGGAACCTGTCAGATTCAAGGTTGAACCACTGTAATGATGTGATTGCCAGCTATCATTTACAGTATACTGACATAAGCCTTAATTACTGAGCAGCTTTTAACAGGGAGGAGGGTGTGTAGTCAGTGAAACTGTTCAGCTGCACTGCATTCTTCATCCCATATGTAATGGATATACTGTATTTGCTGTCAATTTGATAGTTATTAACAGAAGGACTGCCCAGTTATTTTATTGCTGCCTAAATTGGTCTGAAATCTAGGCCTGCATTGTACAATCCATTATATTTAAAAAGAACCTATAGTATATACAGTATTCTTAAAATGTAAGATTATCCTCTAACATTCCCACTGTCTTTTCGCTTATACCATACTTTTGAAATGTTTTAATTCAGACGAACACAAGCAACAAATTAATAAGGCTTTCATTTCAAAATATCATAAGGAGCCGAGATTATCTTTTCACTTTTGCTTGATGTACTCTTGGAAGTTTTGAACCATTTCATTGCCAGATGCTCCGTGTCAGTATGTGCTATGTTTGGCCCTTGTAATTCTTGTTGGTTAAAGTCAGATGTAAAACCATAAGAAGGGTAAGATGAAATAATTTAGAATTTACTCTACAGTGTTGTAGACTTTGACACAGTAAGAAAAATTACAAACTTTATTTGATATAGTGCTCTTAAAATAAATCTCTAAGCCCCTTTCAGTATATAAAAAGTTATATATATAAAAGTTTACTTAAAAAAAACTTTTTAAAGTAAATTAAAACTAGAAAAATACAAAGCTGAAAACAAAGCAGATTAAAATGATCACTTTTGTAATTCAGGGTATATTTAAGAGCACCCAATATACAGTATCTGGCTCCCTGATCCTTTTTTTTGGGGTGGTCTTTCAAAGATTTGGAAGTGACACAACCCTGTCACTTTGCAAATGTAGACCAGCAGTAGGAATACACAATAAACCAGCAGAGCAAGAGGTCACATGGAGGAGAATAAACAAACGTTGTACATGGTATACAATAAGGAGTTTTGAATTCCAGATATTTCAGTCTATTTTGTTGACACTGCTAGTTTTTTTAACCATCTCCTGTGTGTTTTATGTAGCTTAACTGTCGCCCTTCACCATATTGAGGATCCTTAGCTCAGTCCCAGTACAGTATATGCAATCTCAGCCATTTTGCCTTTTTATTTTTGTGTTTTTTTTATAATTAGTGTCTAAAAAGGAAGAATTTCATTCCAAAGTACAATACATAAAGCAGACATGGCTTTGGACAAGTATACACATTTCAGAACTGTTGTTTAACCACATAGGGTTAGTTAGGGAAAAGTTTAATGTCCACTATGAAACACTAGAATAAAGATCAGTTTATGGCTTTGTGGATACAATAGCTGTATGCATTAGCCACTTATTTGTGGGCAGTATTGTAGTAAATGCCACAGAAAATGTTTTCCATACAAGCTGACTTTATATCTAGGCTGTTTTCCGCAAAGTCATTTTCTGTGTAGGCCTAATCTTGGGGAAAAAGGTTTCCAGTCTGTTGCAAGATGTTTGTCCAGTGAGGTGAGGGATCTTTGTGTGGATCTTTCTTGCACAAATGAGGACAGCAAAATGCGCAGGCGGTCACTCAGCATATCTGAAATGCTTTCAGGATCAGTAATGCTGTAGAAAGCTGCCAAAACCTTTAAGAACCAGTAAATTGTGATGAGACAGCAAAAGGTCTGGGTTTGTAAAGGTGCTCTGTTTTTTAATCGTCAAACTCAGGCTTTGTGAATGTCTGCCCAGTCTCGTAAAACCTCATGAATCAAAATTGATTTAAACAAACTTTAAATAATTTTGACATACACTACACTAATAGAAATCATTTGTACAAGATGTTGTATTGATGCTACTGACTATTTTAATCCTCTATTATTTTAAGTGTCCACTGCATTGTCCCAAGACATGCTGTACTGACTCAGATTTAGACCTGAAACTCGGTTAAATCCCTGAGGGGTCACTAACACAAGCTATCCTACAGATGTTTAAAACCTACGTAGACATACATAGACAAGGACAAATGACATACTATAATGCACTTAGCACCAATTGACTGTAGACGTTTGTCTATCAGAATGTCTGACTACCAAAATACTAGCTACTGCATGGGTTAGATGAGCCAAATGGTTTCCTCTTGTTTGTAACACCTGCAGTATTGTCTAATTGTGCCAGATATTGTGGTCCATTGCTAATGAGGCAAAC